CAGCTTTTCCCACTCTTTTGTTGACTATGAAGGCTACTCCATTCCTTCTACGGGATTCTTGCCCACAATAGTAGATATGATAATCATCTGAGCTGAATTTGTGCATTCCTGTCCATTTTAGTTCTCTGATGCCCAGGATGTCGATGTTTATTCTTGCCATCTCCTGTTTGACCACCTCCAGCTTCCCAAGGTTCATAGATCTTACATTCCAGGTTCCTATGCAGTATTTTTCTTTGCAGCATTGGACTTTCCTTTCACTTCCAGGCACGTCCACAGCTGAGCGTCCTTTCGGCTTTGGCCAAACCACTTCATTAGCTCTGGAGCTACTTGTACTTGTCCTCCGCTCTTCCTCAGTAGCATGTTGGATGCCTTTCGACCTGAGGGTCCCATATTCCAGCGTCATATCTTTTAGCCTTTTGTTTCTGATTATGGGGCGTTCTTGGCAAAGATACTGGAGTGGCTTGCCATTTCCTACTTCAGGTGGATTGCGTTTAGTCGGAACTCTCCACTATGTCCTGTCCGTCTTGGGTGTCCCTGAACGGCATAACCCATACCTTCTCTGAGTTCTCAAGCCCCTATGCCACGACAAGGCAGCAATCCATGAAGGGATTTTTCTTGTACTTTAAATATCTACGACCCATACAGTCAAACACTACTTTTTAACAGTGAAACAGCGCTGTGGTTATCATGTCTCTATAATAAATTGAAATTCAGCACAACTGGAAACAATCATCTGCATTTTCACTACTTGAAAACAGTTTGAAGTATTTATAAAACTACCGCAATCCTGAGAGGCTCTAAACCAGCCATTAACTCTACAGGCTCATATTTTAAAGAAAGGGTTGGCGGGGGGGAATAATGTGTATGACTTTGAGTACATTATNTAATGTGTATGAGTTTGAGTACGTTATATCCAAATATTAGCAAACCATCCAAAAAGACCGGCTACTCCAGTAAACTATGGTTCTGAGAAAGAGTACTGTGCATGCACACTGCCTCCTCCTTCTCATTCTTCACTTTTTATAACTTATTTGGTGTTTTTTTCTTTATTTTCATTGTTATGACTCCTTTTTCTCAAGAAAATGGACTCAAGGTGGCTGACACAGTAATAGAAACAAATTGATTAAAAACTTAATAAATGATTACATTAAAACAATTAAACATATAGTATTGAAATAACGATCTAAAACAGTCAAAAACACCGTAAAATTCATGCACACATACCTTAACAACACACATAAATGCCTTTCCATAGGACTATTTCAGCAACGTAGAGAGGGGGGATTTGCTGGTTGGGTAACAGCCTATCCTCCATATTATTTTACTCAGGCTGCATGCCCTGGAGAGGACACTCCAGCTTCGCGTACAGCGTCAAAACACTAGATGCTGTTCCACGTCCTCCATACAGAGCATGTTACCATAGGCTCTCGAGACTGAAGGATGCCTATGAGGATTTCTCTCTCTCTCTCTCTCTCTTTCTCTCTCTCTCTCTCTCTCTCTCTCTCACACACACAATCTATCTATCTATCTATCTATCTATCTATCTATCTATCTATCTATCTATCTATCTATCTATCTATCTATCTATATCTACCGTATTTTTCGCTCCATAAGACGCACCTTTCCATAAGACGCACCAATTTTTTAGGAGAAAGCAGGAAAATATAATCTGTTTTCTTCGCTCCATAAGACACGCAGACTTTCCACCCCCGTTTTGTGGGGGGAAAGTGCGTCTTATGGTGCAAAAAATACGGTATATATCTATTATCTATATCTATATATATATCTGTGTAAGAAGGGATGGTGATTTGGGAAGACTACTCAAGCATTGATATATAAAGGTTTCTACATATATATTTAAAAAATGACTGTGACATCGCTGAAACCAGTTGTATTGGCTCTTGCCTTTCCATTGGACTATTTCAGCAACGTGGAGAGGGGGGATTTGCTGGTTGGGTAACAGCCTATCCTCCATATTATTTTACCCAGGCTTCGTGCCCTGGAGAGGACACTCCAGCTTCGCGTACAGCGTCAAAACACTAGACGCTGTTCCAAGTGCTCCATACAGAGCATGTTACCATAGTCTCTCAAGACTGAAGGATACCTAGGAGGAAATTAATAATATCTCAGGCCAAAACAAAATAAAAAACAAAGACAACAAAAACACTGTCGAACCTTGAAGACGAACTGCTGTATTTTAATGTGAGCTTTTCTGAAGCTTCTGCATGTTCCCAACAGATGTATCTGTGAAGGCAGTGAGACTAGAAGATGGGCCTCCCCTGAAGGACTTAGAAGCCACAAAGGCTCATAGGTGGAGATACGGTTCTTCAGATAGTCTGGACCCAAGCCATATAGGGCTTTATAGATCAGAACCAGCACTCTAAATTCGGCTGAGACACATACTAGTAGCCAGTGAAGCTGTTGTAACAGGAGTTATTTGCTCCCTGCAAAACCTGTGTTTTAGTCTCTTGATTACAAACCAGAAGCAAATTCACCTGCTGACATATGTTTTAATATTTTCGC